ATTGTTCATTTTATTAAAACTCTTTAAATCAAAAATTAAAATAAAATAATTTAAATAATTAAAAATAAGAATTAATAAATTTAAATACATTTAAAATAAATAAAATTAATAAATCATATCCTATAACAACATCACACCACACTAAATCCCATTCTCAACCACATATACATTTCTATATACTATACAATTATATATATATAGGATATTGCCTTGAAAGTGAAATAATATGTTACACATTCCTAACAATAAGAAATATTAAATTAATCTCGATCAAATAAATATATATAATTACCATATAATTGACCAAAATTCACAATGCTATTTTATCAATTGATAATCTTTTCTTCCTTCCTTCTTTATCAAATTTGTTAAGAAAATTATCATTGATAGTATTATCCTCATTACTCTCACCAATAATCCTAATTAAATTACAATTAATGTTAAATTGATTAAAAAAGAATTCAATATCAAGATTAAATCTGTAAAATTTTACATCTTAAATACATTTCTATTATATTTTATATGAAGAGATTTTTATCTTCCGATGAAGAAGATCATTCATCAGACAAATCAAATTCAACTGATAAACCAAGAATTGATTTGGCACCATATTCATTTAATTGATTCATTACATTGATTAATTGTTCCTTTATAAAATATGTACATTTTAAAAATATTAATATTAATATACTCTAAAATATTTCATCATCACTAAATACAGTATATACAGAGATAAATGCAATGCCCCTCAAAATTGATTAACGGTTTAACTTATGATATTGTGACACATATTATGAAATACAAATTACTAAATCTAGATATTACATAATTTATAGTATGATGTTATACACAGAAAATTCCTAATTACTAAATTTCAGTCATGACTCCGATTGATAAACATAATTAAGGAATTTTAAAAAAATCTCATTCGAACGTAAATGATAAATATAAAAATTTATTGATATACAAATTTTTTTTATTTTTTTTTAATTAAAAAAATAAACTTTCATCTTACGTACAATAAGAGAACAGAAAATGTCTAAAATATGCCTAGAATACAATGAAAAATATAATTATGTTGATTGGTGGTGCAAACTATGCATCTCAAAACATTTTAAAAATGATTTTAATAAATGGACAAGTGGAAATGATACAATAAATAAACTTATTCAAGATACTCAACTAAATGCTGATTATTATAAACATATAGAATGGATATCTTATGATAAATTTCAAAACATTAAACAAATAGTAAAAGGTGGTTATGGTACTATTTATTATGCTAAGTGGATTAATGCACGTATTTATGATTGGGATATTGAAAATCAACAATGAAAAAGATATGATCAACATGAAGCTGCGTTAAAAAAGTTGGATGGTATTGTAGATATAATGATGATTTTTTAAATGAATAAAAGTAATATTTTAAATTTATTTGAAAATATATAATATATTAATTATAATTTAAAATATATTATTTAGTTGACAATTTTCTTGAGAACAAATGGTGAAGGGTCATCAGCTATCTTTATGGAATTACAAAAGATCCAGTAACTTATAAATATATGATGGTTTCGATTATTTTAAAGATGGAAGTCTAGAAATTATTTAAATAATACTTTAATAATATCAATTGGAGAAATAAATTAGAATTCTTAATAGAATTAGCTGGAAATTTTTCAAAAATTCATAAACTAGATATAGTTCATCGTGATTTTCATCCTGGAAATATTTTAAAAGGTAATTATTTATGGATAACAGATTTTGAATTGAGTAAATTAATTACAGCAAACATAAAAAATCTTCAAAAGAATACTATTTCTGGAGTATTACCCTATATAGCACCTGAAATATTAATTGGAGGAGAATATACAAAAGCCACTGATGTTTATTCATTTGCATTTGTTTCTTATGAAATCATCACTGGAATTCCTCCATATCATAATGTGCCACATGATAAATATTTGGCTTTTGATATATGTAAAGGATTTTGACCAAAAATTCCATTTCACATACCTAAATTAATTACACAAATAATTATGAGATGTTGGGATGCCCGAATTACACATTGACCTACTTTTGATGAATTATATATCAAGTTGATTAAATACTGGAGGGATTATAAGAAAAATTATTTTGACAATAATAACGAAATTACAATTTAGATTAAAGAAGCTCAAGAATTTTCCAAAAATCAAACAACTTATCATTATATGAACGAAAATATGAAAAAAATAAAAAACAAGTTTCACTTGAATATATATAGTTAAATTGATTCAAAATATTTGTAATATTTTTGTAAAATATAAAATAAATAATATACATTTTAATAAATATAATATAAAATAATTAATATTTTTTATTTTCAATTACTATATAAAATTTTTTATCATCACTTCTTATATATTAGTGATTATATAGAGACAAAATTTTTATATTCACAATTATTTATAATTATCAAATTTACTGGTCCCGAATGTGTGATTATAGAGAGACCTGACTGTATATTATAAAAATTATGCTTTGGGTGTTTATCAAGTAGGATAATATTCAACATGTAGTGTCTTATCCTGGATCAGTAGTATGTTAAGGTAAAATGTAATGAGTATGTAGTATGCTTCAATAGTACTAATAGAGACAACTTATGCTGAAAAATCTTGAGTCACCAAAGTAAAATTATTATAGGAAAGTTATACTATTGTACATTGATGGGTCAAATGTGATATACCTTCTAATTATATATTGATAGATCACCAAAGATTTTTTGATATAAGTACTATTTCAAATAATAAGTGTGGAATGCCAGTGTTCTGAAATAGAGTACACATATAATATATAAAATTATGCTTTGATGGGACACCAAAGATTTTTCAGTGTGAGTAATATTTTAAGCAAAAAAGTGGGTTATCAAAGATTTTTCAGTGAATGAGTACTATTTCAAATAAAATGTCAGCATTCTGAAATAGAGTACATATATAATATATAAAATTGTACCAATAGGAATAGCATTTTAAAAAATTGGTAGGCCACCAAAGAATAATTATTACAGATAAGGATAACAATTCAGCACTACATGCCTCATTCTCAGGTGATAATCAAATGAATTATACAAAGCTAACAATTGCTGAAATTCAGCACTACGTGTCTCATCCTCTATCGGTATTCGAGTACATCAAGCAAGCCAGTTCACGAATGCTATTTTAGCACTATGTACCTCAAACCTGGTCCTTATAGAGGAATTAACCAGAAAACTAGGACACTACGTATCCAGTTCGAGTATAGCCCTCACAAATGATGATATATGATTGGATGCATTGTCAGATATATTTTTTACCCATATAGCCTAATGGCAAAAATCGGTTACAATTACTAAACAAATATACATTATGTTGTATGTGGGTATCCAAGTGTGATGACGTGAACACAAATTTTTGTCATATTTTTCATAGGATGTGAATATCTAAGTGTGACAACGAACTCATAAACCAATCTTCACTCGAATGATGACATATACATGATCTTGTCATCACACCTAAGACTATAATAATCTAATCTAAGTAATTTTTTGTTTATATAAACAAAAAAGACTCATGTTACTTTGCATAACATAATAACGTATCATAGATTCAATCATCTTCACAATAAATTTTCTAGAATTATCTTAAAAGAAAATTAAGAGGAATATGTGCACTTAAATCTGGAAGGAAAACTGAGAAATGAAACACTAGAACGTCTTTTTTTTTTTGATTAGGACAATTATTTATAGAACAATAAAAAGTTATCTTAACATAGTGAAAAATTTTAAGGTTCTAGAAACCAAAAGATAAAAGAAATGTCTTGTGAAAACTGATCCGCATTTTTATTATTTCAGTAGAATATTCCTATGGAAGTTTTTTCGGTTTATGATTATATTTAGAAGAAAAAATAGATGTTCATTATATTAATTTATTAAATTTACTTTAAATAACCATTGAACTAAGTTATTAATAATTAATTTAATTTATTATTGTTAACTGAAGGAAGATAAATATTATACAAATAGTAAAAATAGTCATTTTTGGGTTTTGATTTTTTCCGCATAGAAAAGTACAAAAAATATAAAAAGAATGATGATCTCTGTTTATATTATGGATTTGTATAAAAAATCTTATTCTTGACATTTTAAAAATAGCTTCGTGTAACTGAATGACCTGGATTAAACCGTTTCAAAGATTCAAAGAATATTCCTTGTGGAAATCTAAAAAAAAATAGTATCCGAACAAAGACTACAGGGTGTCCATGAGAAGGCAGGCGCAACTTTAAAGATATATTGAATAGAAATTATCATGTATTAAGAACTATATGTTATATACAATCTAGATTTTTGAGCAATTGATAAGAATGGATTTCGACTTCATTATTTCAATGTGTAGAAGGCATTTTTTGATTCGTGGACTATGAAATCCGTATTTCCTATTGTATAATAATAATATTAACTAACATGAAAACTTTTAAATGTAAATAATAAAATATTATTACTATAGTATATACTTTTATTATATCACGGGTAGATCGCATCGTAAAAATTATATAAAGCATTCATTCGGCCTCGAAAAAAATATAGACCAAAGGTTATCTTATAATTAAGATGAATTCTATCAATTAAAAAGTAAAGTAAAATCCAATTTAATTAAAGGCACTTTTATCGAATCTATATAAACTCGAAGGTTAAGACCTTTTCAAAAAACTTTGTCGTTGATAACAAACCCATACTCAAACATTTTTTTTGCACATAGATTAGAATATCCTTAATAAACTAAAGCAAATTTTCTCGAATAGATTATATATATTGTTAGCTTCTTTAGCGAAACCATCTAACCTATTCAATTTTTACAAGATAATTCACATAAACCTTTTACTGACATCGTCAATATTATAAAAAATTGTTACTTTATTTATAAAATATTTCCTTTTCATTAAAAAAGCTTTTAATATAATTCTCGTGTAAAAAACAAAAGAAAATGGAAACTAAAAATTTAACAAACTCAACTAAAGAAACCACAAAAAAACCTCAACAAAAGAAATTAAGAGTTGATATACCTAAACAATTAGATATTAATAATGTATACAATCCAAAATATGATGTTATCCAATTAATGTCTACCAGACGTAAATTATGTGCTTCCAAGAATCCACCTAGACCACCAAACAGTTATTTTTTGATGAAAAATTGTTACATGTTAGAGTTAAGAGCAATTGGTTTAAGGTATACAATGCCAGAATTATGTATCCAATCAAAGCAACTGTGGAAAGAAGCACCAAAAGAAGTGAAAAATCGTTACGACAAAATACAATTAAAAGCTCAAAGCATCCACAATGAATTGTATCCAGGATATAAATTCAGACCAAAAAAAAGACAAACTTTTAAAATGCACGTTTTCCCCCACGAAAGTGCTGCCAATTTTACAACTTTTAGTTCCACAAATTATTTGAAAAGACCTTCTTCTCAATTGGATAATTATTCATCAATGGAATCTGAAGATGGATCTACAGCCCTTACCAATTCTTCGGATTCCTCCAAAACTAATTATTCGTTAGAAATTTTAACACCTACATTTTTTGATCCCTTTAAATATTCATCACTTTTAAATCAATGTGATCAAACTTATATCAATAGCGATATAAAAACTTATTCATCTTCGAATGGAGAAGAATTTAATGAATCATTAGGAAGTTTTGTCCCATCTTTAGATTTTGCTCAAAATTTTCAACTTTTACAATGTTCGTACGATTATAATCTAAACAAAATTTTAAATGTTCCTACAGGCACAGATAATATTTTTTTTGACCCAGAACAATGTTTCAATCTTATAGAAAACAATGAACCATTTTATTATGAAACCTAAAAAAATATTTATTTATTTATATTTTGTAATATAGATCGGTCGTTTCTTTTATTTTTCCTATTTTTTTTGCCATTTTCATATTTTGTAAATTTTATTCTCTATGAATGAAAAACCTTTAAGTTTCAATATGATTAAAATTCTTTTCCTCGTTCTATACCTCCTTTTTCTATGATTACTATAAAAGTTAAAACAATACAAATCAAGAATTTAAAAATAAATGTTCTAATTTTAAACACTGCATTAATTTGCATTATATCAAGATCCAAATTGGGCACACGTGTGACAAATGCCAAGCATGAAATCCAAAAAGGCAAAGTGCACGCTAATTTTTGAAATTAGGAACGGGAAATTTCTAGAACGGTTGTTTTGTGACCAGTTTTTTTATGATATGTTGTGCTGGAGTAACTGTTGTATTTTTGGAATTTTCTTTTAGGAGATTATATAAGACTCATTGAAATTTGTGAATAAATAAATTGTATTAATAATAAAATGTTTTGCCATTTTTTTAAATCCATGACAAATGTGTATAATTTTTTTATTAATATCTCAAAATATAATCTTTCTCGATTGGGATATTAGAATATTTATATTGCAAAAAACAGATTAAAATCTTTAAATAAATGATGACTGTAACAATTGTTAAGTATAATATAAATAACAAATGTTTTATATTAGTTTTTTATGATTGATTTTGATTCAGCCGTAGTCAATAATCTGATATTTATCATTCAAATGAACGGAAGAAGATTAACAGGACTAATCCTATTTCAAAAAGAATAACCTCTTTGTACTTGTGACACCATACCACCTACGACTCATCTTGATTTATGGCGACTTCACTGTGTGCCATTTTAATTATTTTATATTACGATTGTTAAAATATTTATTTATTTGGTATACAATAATCGAAATATAAATTAAAAAATTTGTGTATCTTAATGTAGAATAATTATCCAAATATTAAGTATTGGTGAATATTTATATTAATTAAAGGTTTAATTATTATCTTGAGAGAGACAGGTTGGAATTCTTTTGTTTCTAATCTTTCTATCATTGATATAATGAACGCTTAAATATTTTGCATCTTACGTGCGCATATATTTTTTTTTCAAATTTCACAAATCCAATTGCCAAGAGTTTAGATATTATTAATTTTTTTTTCATGCAACCAGCGAAGTCTCCTCTTAATTCAATTCATTTGAAAATTAATAATATTACTACATTTTATAATAAAAATTAAATACTTATTAAAACTACATGATTAGTTTATCATCTAACCTGCCATTGTGGAAGGCCTAAACTTTTCCAATTAGAAGTCACCGCCTAACTAATATCTAAATTAAAAGAAAAAATAAAATCTAACATAACAAAATTTAAACTATTATTAATAGTGTTATTAATAATATTGTTACCTAAGCTGCTTAACTTTTTTGATTATTTTGTATTCATTAATTATAATGGAAGATGGTTTTGATGATATTTTTCGAGAGGTCAAAAATACCTCTCTTCTTCTCTCAATTAATAAAATTTTCACAAAGATTTTCCAAATTTTAAGTTGTTCCTCTTTAAGAAATGTAATTGTTTTTATTATTATTTTCCGGGTAGTTTTAGTATCTCTAGTAAGTTAATTCATTTTAGTCCGCATGAATTTCGGTTGAAATCCATAAATTAGATCAATAAACGTGAATTTTTCAGTTGATACCAAAGTTTGAAGAAGTCTTAGAGAGCATATTTGAAGTACAAGTATGCACTTTTTTAATTCTTTAGGCTGATTTGATATTAGATACGAATTAGCAGTTATAAGAAGGGAGTTTGCGTAATTCCATTAATAAATTTCCACATGTAACGATGTTTCTGCTAACTTGTTTTCCACAACTGATAAAAGTGGGTGCATCATAGATTTCAGGGTCTTGTATGTAATATATTTTTTGTAGAGAGTTCATCATTGTTCTAAGCATTTAATGAAGAGTAGTTTCAGTATTGGGTAAACCAGAGAGAAATCCATTTAATTTTGATGATTTCTTTAGTAAAATTTTGAATTGGGATATCAACTTGAGTATTGTTCCGGTTGATTTATTATTGATAACTTGATCATTTGATATCCTATCATCAGGCTGCGTTTGTAAAAAAAAATTTAAATTCTAGATTGTCATTATATCCATGTTTTCTTATTTAAGCGACCATGTTCTTAGTATAAAAGAATTTTTCTATTTCTATTTCAATATTGTCGCGGTCTGCGCAGAACAATGTGGGAAGTCAAGCCAATCAGTCTCAATAAATTTAGGATGATCACACAAT